CTTAAATAAAAGGTTAATGATAAACAACATTTCTTGAACCGCTGGGCACACCTCCCAAGTGCTGAACACTACATTCATCTTGAACAAATGGGTTGTTGGGAAAGGGACCTCTATGAATGATATGAAAATGAACAGGCTATTTCAGCATTAACATGTCCTTAGCAGAATCAAAAGAACTGAGGAGATGTGAGAACAGCATCTCAGCTCTTCAAGGAAAATGTGGCCCATTGTTTTGCAATCTAACAATTTTAAGTAGTCTCTCTCTCTCTCTCTCTCTGTGTTCCTCCTTTCTATCCTGCTGCAATCAGAGAGATTCTGAGTGGTGAATATAGTAAAACAATTATCCACTGTGAAATCTAAAATTAGACAAAAACATTACGGTTAGCAACAATGACATTATACCAACACAAACCAACAATAAAGGCCATAAAAATAAAAACTGCAGATGGCACCATTAAATCAGGAGAAAGATCTGCCAAGCAACTCATTTTTTCCACAGTTGTCAAAATATCAGCAAAGAGGGGGCTAGACTCTCTTCCACAGGACTGCCATTGCTGCAGAAAAGAAATGCCTTCTTGTCTCAGCCTGAAAATGTGAGATTTGTAGCAGTTTCTCCCTGGGTTGATCAAACTGGTTAGTCTGGTGCTAATTGGAGTAGGTGGTCCTATAGGTGTCTGGCCACCAAGCCATAAAGGGCTCTTATCACTGAGAAGAGCCTAATGCTGGGAAAGATTGAGGGCAAAAGAAGAAGGGGATGACAGAGAATGAGGTGGCTGGATGGAGTCACTGCAGCAGTCGGCGTGAGCTTAAATGGACTCCAGGGGATGGTAGAGGACAGGAAGGCCTGGAGGAACATTGTCCATGGGGTTGCGATGAGTCAGACACGACTTCGCAACTAACAACAACAAGGACAATCACTGTAGTTGTTAAGTTAGTAACAGTTAGGTTGTTAAGTGAATCTGGCTTTCCCATTGGCTTTGCTTGTCAAAAGATTGCAAAAAGTGATCACAGGACTCTGGGACACTGCATCCAGCATAAATACATGCCCGTTGCCAAGTGCCCAAATTCTGATCAGGTGACCAAGGTCACGTGTGCAATAGTCATAAGTCACTGTAAAAAAGGTCATGTAATCCACTTTTTCCAGTGCCGTTATAACTTCAGTCACTAAACAACAAATGGTTGTTAAATCAAGGATTACATGTACAATTTGCATTTTTGGCTATCAAAGTAGTAGTGTCAGCAGAGCACAGGTTATTTGATGTTTTGCCTCCAATTTTAAAACGAATTTTAAATATTTTGTTGAATAAACAAGGGGAGACTATATGGCTCTGTCTCAGTCTTTTGTCAGCATGAAGCCAGACGGTTTCACGATGTTCTCTCCAAACAGTGCCTGACTTATATATAGGTTTCTCATGAGGACATTGAAATGTTCTGGAATTTCCATTTTTCTCAGCACATTTGAGATCAAAGGCCCTTATATAATCAGGGAAGCACATACTGACTCCTTTGGGATATTCTTTGGCTTCCTCGGCCATCCAGAATGCATCAGCAATAAGGTGGTGTGTTCCTCAACCTTTTCTAAAGGCAGTTTGAACATCTCAACATTTCTCTTTCTATAGCATTGTGTAGTCCTATGCATATGATATAAAGGATATTGTAGGACATATTCTGTTAAGTCTTTTTTAAATTGGAATTAGATTGATCTCTTCTAATGTTGGCCACTGTGTCATTCTCCAGATTTTCTGGCATAGCTTGGTTACAGCCTTTTCTGATTCTTCTTTTCTTGCTTGACCTATTTCAGTGAGTCTTCTATTTGTTTGTGACTGAATTTACAATGACCAGATGGCTGATTTAACTTCATAATTTACTACTGGAGGTTCTTGCTAGAAGGATCTTAAAAGGTATCTTGTATGTTGATATATCTACTGTACACTATTTCAGCATATTCTTTCCATCTTTGTTTGATCTCCTTTGAACCCATTATAACCTGTCAGTCAGTAGATGTTTTTATTTTGTTTTTGGTCAGATGTTTGTGATCTTACACCACTCAAAATGAAGGATGGAGAAAAACTATTTTCTAATCTTCATAGACTCACTGAAAAAATACTTGTATCTTCTAACACTTGTTGAATGAGAAAAAATGATGGTATCAACAAAATAACAGCCACTTTTAGTAGCTAATAGTAATAGTAGCCACTATTATAGTAATAGTAGCCACTAATAGTAGCCACTTTTCAAGAGGCTACCCTTGAAAAGTGTTCGGAGACTACAGTTGTTCCAGAACGTAGCCACGAGAGCTGTTGTGGGTACACCTAGGTACACCCACATTACACCAATTCTCCGCGAGCTGCACTGGCTCCCTATTGGTCTCCGGTCACAATTCAAGGTGTTGGTTATTACTTTAAAGGCCTACATGGCTCAGGGCCAGGGTATATTCGAGACCACCTTCTACTGCATAGCTCCCAGCGACCAGTAAGATCCCACAGAGTTGGTCTCCTCAGAGTCCCGTCAGCTAAACAATGCCGGCTGGCGGGCCCGCGGGGGAGGGCCTTCTCTGTGGCTGCCCCAGCTCTCTGGAACCAGTTACCTCCTAAGGTCCGGACCATACCCACCCTATTGGCCTTCCGAAAAGCAGTGAAGACCTGGCTCTTCCGGCAGGCCTGGGTTGTTGATCTCGCTGCTGCGATTTGGCGAGATCCGGCCATGAATGGTGTGAATGGGTTTTAATTGTGAATGGGTTTTAATTGTTTTTAATGGTTTAACTTTTAATGCTTTATATATGTTTTTTAAATGCATTGTAAGCCACCTTGAGTCTTCGGAGAAAGGCTGCATACAAGTTGAACAAATAAATAAATAAATAAATAAATAAATAAATAAATAAATAAATAAATAAATAAACAAACAAACAAACAAACAAACAAACAAACAAAGTTGGAAGGGATCTTGGAGGTCTTCTAGTCCAACCCCCTTCTCAAACAGGAAACCCTATACAATTTCAGATAGATGGTTGTCCAGTGTTAAAAACCTCCAGTGTTAGAATACCCACATCTGCAGAAATGTGAGTAAATATGACGACCCAATCAGGATACAACCACAGCACCTTTCCAAACTTTCTGTAAACAATAGGGGAGTTAAAAGGTGGTGTTGCGTGTACTTGATAAATCTGAAGGCATCTGATATAAATGCTCAAATGCTGTTCTCTAGTCACATGTTCCAAATTCACGTCTAGAGCTAACTAACTCCAGCCTATAGAGTACTACACAATTACAAACACATGACATGGGATGAGACCATACATTTCGTAACTAGAATTAAACACTCTTTCCTGAATCCACCCTCTTCCCAAATTTGCTTTCTTATCGTGATTTCTTTTTCCAAGAAATCAGGAAAAAGAGCCAGACCAGGGGTGGGGTAGAGGGGACGGGAGGTAGAAAGGTATCATTTGAATCCTTTGGGCAGACATTCTACTTAAGAATCCTAAATCGCCCCTGGACAATGTAAGAATTCTATGTAATTATTTAAAATAAATAAAAAATATTTTAATTTTTGCCATTCACATTTTATTCTGTCCCTCCTTTTGCATCCTTCCTTTAATGATTCTGTTCCACCATTTCTTTGATATTAGTGTAACTCTTGTCCAGCAGCGAGTTGTCCTGTGGTGGCTGTGGCAAGTTGATCATGGCAGATTGCCATAAACGCCCCCCCCCCCCCATCACCACCAATGGTGCCACTGACTTCGCAATATCAACTTCACATCTCAACCAACAAATGCTCTGTCTTACACATTGGCAAAAAAAAAAAAAAAAAAAATCAGAACATAAAATACAACCTAGATGGACATGACCTTGTAGACGACCCTCACTCTGTCAAGGACCTTGGAATACTCATTTCTAAAGATCTAAGTGCCAGAGCCCACTGTAACAACATTGCCAAAAAGGCATTAAGAGTTGTTAACCTAATCTTGTGTAGCTTCTTCTCTGGTAATATTGTACTACTAACTAGAGCATACAAAACATTTGCTAGACCAATTCTTGAATACAGCTCATCTGTCTGGAACCTGCACTGCATATCGGACATAAATACAATCGAGAGAGTCCAGAGATATTTCACGAGAAGAGTCCTCCGCTACTCTATCCGCAATAGAATACTTTATGCCACCAGACTTGGTCTTAGAGAATTTAGAACTGTGCCGCCTTCGTTCTGATCTAAGTGTACTACATAAAATCATCTGCTACAATGTCCTACCTGTCAATGACTACTTCAGCTTCAATCACAACAATACATGAGCACACAATAGATACAAACTTAAGGTGAACCGCTCCAACGATTGCAGAAAATATGACTTCAGCAACAGAGTGGTCAATGCCTGGAATGCACTACCTGACTCTGTGGTTTCATCCCCAAACCCCCAAAACTTTAACCTTAGACTGTCTACTGTTTGACCTCACCCCATTCCTAAGAAGTCTTTAAGGGGCGTGCATAAGCGCACCAGCGTGCCTACGGTCTCTGTCCTAATGTCCCTTTTTACTCGTATCCTTTTTATGTATTCAAAATCATGTTTATACTTTTATCTTATATATGGCAAATAAATAAAAATAAAAAAATAAATGAATATCACAAACGGATCCACACGTTTCGAAGAGCCAATGTGAAACACACGTAGACTGCCGATCCCGGCCCGTGAGGTCTCTGTGGACCACCTTCCATTCCCTTTCTGCCCGATTCTTTCCTCCAACGCGTCTCTTATAGAACTTAAAAAAAGAGTTTAGATGCGACGCGACTGGGGATCCTAAAGCGAGCGAGCAAGAGAGGAGGGGAAAGCGGGCTTCGGCTTGTGCGGTGCGCGGCTAACGTGTAGAGGCGTGCATGCATTTCAACACGTCGAAGTTTAAAGGCTTGGACCAGTTTCTTTTCCCGTGGAGCTGCCCTCTATCCTCGGCCTCCGGGGGAGGATCGCCGTTCTTGCGGGCGCTGCTATCTCCTGCAAGCCGACCGCCTCCGGCCTGATCGAACCCTGGAGCCGCCCCTGCTCGGGCGGAAGCTCCTCCCCGGTTTACCCGCGTGGCTGAAGATGGCGTCTCCCATGGCGAGCCAAGTAATCCGAGATTTGCCTTTGCTCAGAGCCACCCTGCTCAGGAGGCGCAATCCGGTGAGTGCGCCCGCCCCTCGCGGCGAGGCTTCGGCCTCTTGCAGCCAGGCGTCTGCGTCCTCCTGGGGTGGCGGGGGGGGGGGGGGGGGGTAGCCCGATCGGTCCCGGGCTGCCTCCCAGCGCCCGTCAACTTCGGAGGCTGCTCAGGGGTTAGGTGGAGGGTGTTTGACATTTCTTTGGTCTCTCAGTTCATTCTCCAGAACTCAACAGGTGGATCCGTCTCAACCCTCTTCATTTCTTCCAGATACGTAGGATCAAATGTGTTGGTTTTTTTTTTTTTTTTTTGCCGGGGCTAAAAATTTAGCCTTTTTTATAAACGCCCCAATTGTTGATAAACCCAATTTAAAAAAAAAAAAAAATTAAAGGGTGAAGAAAGGCAATAGGTTTGATCAAAAGTCACTTTTGAAAGTTCTTGAGTCATATTTTATTTATTTATTTTGCCAGGGAAGCAACTCCACGAATTACAATGAAGGGAATCCTTACTCTTTACTTACTCAGGTGATGGACCTTAACAATTTCATGAGCTCTAGCTTTCTCCCTCCCTCTCAGTATTGACTCCTGGCAAGTGCCTGGGCTAGTCCCTGCAGCTTTCTTGGCCAAATTTTAGAAGATGGTTTGCTGTTGTTTGCTTCTCAGGGCTGAGGAAGAAGGACCTAACCAAAGGTCATCCAGCTGCCTTCATGAAGAAACGGGGACTAGAGTCCCGGCCTTCAGGTTTCTAGCCTGATGCTTTAACCCCTCTATCAAGTTCATAGTATGATGTTATACTCTTGGTTCCCCCCCCAAATATATTGTTGCTTTTCAAGGAAGTGTGGCCCCTCTTCTTGGTGGAGGTAACTGAAAATGCGTGCAGTTTTTGCTCCAAGGTGAAAACTGGTTATTGAAAATCTGTAAGCCTCAGCTTTTCTGATTTTCCCCTGAACAAGCTTGAAGGTGGGTCAAAGAGCAATTGCCTCCTGCCTGTTTGTTTCTTTACTTAAGTGGTAGTCGCCCAACAGAGCTGGTTACAAGAATACAAGTAATCTTCACTTACTAACAGGGGTGAAATGCTCCCGGTTCAGACCAGATCGCCCGATCTGGTAGCGATGGAGGCGGGTGGTTCGGAGAACCGGTAGCAAAAATCCCTGCCCTCCCCCCCCCCCATTGCCCAGCTGAGCCGCGCAATCATCAGAGGTTTTTTTTAATTTTTAAAAGCATTTTTTCTACAACCTCTTTGGCCGAAAAAAAATGCTTTTAAAAGTAAAAAAAAAAGCCTCTGATTATTGTGCAGCTCAGCTGGGATCATCAGAGGCTTTTAAAAGCATTTTTTCTACAACCTCTTCAGCTGAAGAGGTTGTAGAAAAAATGGTTTTAAAAGTAAAAAAGAAAAGAAAGTTGGCCACGCCCACTCAGTCATATTAACCCCACCACCAAGCCATGCCCACAGAACCAGTAGTAACAAATGTTACATTTCACCACTGCTTACTAACCATAATTGGGACCAACAACTCTATTGCTAAGTAGCATAGGCCTAAAGTGAAAAGTCATGTGACTGCACCTGAGTCACATGAGTTTGTCAGTTCTGATTGCGTTAATACTGCGGGTCATTAAGCATGATGTCACATAACCACAACTTGCCTATTGACTTTAATTGTGGGCAGCTGTCCGTGAAGGTGATCACATGACTGCAGGAGACGGCACCTCTTGGAAATGCACACCAGTTGCCAAACACAATCACATGATTCTGGGAATGCTATGACAGCTACAACTTTGAGGATTGGTTAGAAGTTGCCTTTTTCAGTGCTGTCGTAACTTTGAATGGTCATTGAACAAGTGATTGCTAAATGAGGACTACCTTGTGGTCAGTATTAACAGCTTCTGTAGATGATTGCTTGCTTAGAACTGGTTAATATTTCTTAGTTCAATCCTCTGGTTAAGTTGGCTGAAGGGGAGGATCTAAGTAAATAGAGGAAGTGATACTTCCAGGCTGGAGTAACGGAGGCAAAGCAAGGAGTTGGGCCCATTGCAAATGGAGGTCAAAGTTGTGTGTAAAACTCGACAGATGCTGCTTGAATTGCTGCTTGGTTTGATCAGGATGGGTGCTTGTGAACATAAGAGGGAAAGAGAACCAGCAATGGTACATAGTACTGTAGGAAGTTAAAACCCATCCCTTTCCTAGAAAAATGAAATATTTTAGGAAATATTAAAAGGGCAGAATATTTCCCGTAAAAGGGAGGCAGAAACTCAGCCCCCAGCTTTGTCAATGGGCCATTCTGAGCCAGTCCATTCTACATAACAAAGATCTACCTCCTTCAGGCAGAGCCATTTAATTGTCCTTATATTGCATCACCCAGTAAGATTCAACCAAACTTAACACAGAGACAACCTAAAAAGTTAGCTATGACCTCTGACAGCAACCAATCAGGATACTCTTCCTGTACCCCAGGAAGTTCAAAGCCTGAGAGAGTATAAAACCCAGGGACTCTCAGCATCTCTTCCCTTTTTTCACCCAAGATTTCCAAGGCATGTGATCCTGTTCATCAATAAACCTTCTTTCCAAGCAACTTCCATGAATCCAGTGTCTTTTTCCCTACTTGGAACTGAACCCAGAAGGATATTTCTTCCAACAGTACTACATTGGAGGAAGTGGTTCACATCTCTCAGGAGCCTGCCTGCTGTTACTGTTGACATCAGTTGCTTTGCTGTGTCAACAGAGAACAGCACAATAGAGACATCGCAAATGTACTTGCTTTGAGACCAGAACAAACCCTCTGGAAATTCTCAGGCTGTATTGTTACTTATTAAGAGCTGTGAACACCTGGACTTTTACCTAGGCCTTTCTCAAATGAGAGGGGACCCCTTGTTTCATCATACTTGTCATTATGTTTTACTCAATTTATTTGATTGTTGTGAACTGCCCAATGGTTGAGAGTTGGGTGGCATTTAAGTTTCTAATAAATAGTTCTTGTTATTAAAAGCCTATCTTAATATTAAACATTAAAATCTAGCTGTTGTTTGAAAACTTCCAGATGATTATCTCTGGGTTTTGGAGATCGGTTGATATATCACAAACATTGTATTAGGTTGGCTTTTTTTTAGATGTTCAAAGTGCATAGGTTAGGCTCAGTAATCTTTATTATTACCTTGTAAATCAACTTTTACTGGGTGGAAGGCCACTCTGGGAAAAACTAGTGGCAAAGTAAGTGTAATAATCTCTTGGCTTTAAATAAAATTTATCAAACAAATTTATGTAGCCACCCAACTCACACAAAGGTGGCTCCTCTGGGAGGCTTACAATATTTAAAAATCTAATGTATAATGAAACCTCATAGAAAACACCATCCCTCCCACCGTGGCAGCAACAGCACAATCAAATCAGTCATTTAATCAGCTCCATCTCATTCGTGGTCACTAGGCACACTGATAAAACCAGGTTTTTGGGGGACTTTTGGAAATGTAACAGGGTGGGGGACAACCGTACCTCCAGGGCAATGCTGGCACCATTATTTTCCAATATTTAATATTTTAATTGTAAACCAGTTTAATGATTTTTCATTACCGTATTTTTCGGAGTATAAGATGCACCGGAGTATAAAACGCACCTATCTTTTTTGGTGAGGAAACAAAGAAAAAAGAAATCTCCCTCTGCCTGTGTCTCTGAGCAATTTTGCCTCATTGCAGCAAACAGCAAACAGCCTGCTTTACTTTCAGTTTCGTTTTCAGCATAGCTTGATTAGCACAAGGGGAAAAAAAATCTGCTCCAGCAATTTTCTTGCCTGTAGCAGAGACCTGCACAAAACAGCTGAGAGCAAATTATCTGAGAGTCGGGAGGCTGATCCAATCAACTTGTACTAATTGGGCTGTGCTGAAACTGAAAGGAACTGTTTTTTCTTGCTGTTTGCTTGCAAGAAGGTAACAGCTGCAAGGCAGAGGTCCCATTGTTCAAGTTTGTCAAGGTTTTTTTTGGATCCTGAGCTTGTCTTCTGGGGTGTGAGCTATTCCAGTTTAGTATCTTGCTAGCTGACCTTGGTTGCTAGGTGACTTTGGGCCAGTCACTCTGATTCAGCCCAACCCAGGGGTGAAATGCTCCCGGTTCAAACCGGATTGTCCGATCCAGTAGCAATGGCGGCGGGTAATTCGGAGAACCAGTAGCAAAAATCCCCCCCCCCCCCCCCCGCTTCTACAACCTCTTCGGCTGAAAAAATGCTTTTAAAAGTAAAAAAAAAAAAAAATGCCTCTGATGATCGCGCGGCTCAGCTGGGATCATCAGAGCTTTTAAAAGCATTTTTTTCTGCAACCTCTTAAGGTTGTAGAAAAAATGCTTTTAAAAGTAAAAAAAAAATGGCCATGCCCACCCAGTCACATTACCCCCACCACCACCAAGCCACGCCCACAGAACCGGTAGTAACCTTGGTTACTACCAAGAGCCTTGGTAGTACAGGGGTTTAAGGCACCCTGTTATTAAGCTGGTTATTAAGACCAGCTGCCTGCAATTACTGCAGGGTTCGAATCTCGCCAAGGCTCAAGGTTGACTCAGCCTTCCATCCTTTCTAAGGTAGGTGAAATGAGGACCCAGTTTGTGGGGCAATAAGCTGACTTTGTATAAATATACAAAAGGATGAAGGCTATTGCTGAGCACATTGTAAGCCGCCCTGAGTCTTCGGAGAAGGGCGGCATATAAATCAAATTTAAAAAAAAAAAAAAGTAACAAGTTTTACATTTCACCACTGCCAACCCACCCCACAAGGTTGTTATTATGGGGAAAATAGGAGGAGGAAGATTAGATAGGTTTGCTGCCTTGAGTTAATAAAAACAATAAAGGCATATAAAAATTAAATTAATGAACTATGCCAACATCCCTGGTAGTCCAGGGCATGCTTTTCTCCACGAGACCACAACAGGAGAGAAATAGGGTTATCTGCTTCCCTCCCAGTTTTCTAGATTGCTAGTCTCCCAGTAGCATTCATATAGCATAGATTTAGAGAAAGGTTTTCTTCTGCCCTTGAGAGCTGCAATCAGGC